ACTCGGTAGTTTACGGTTATATTGGTTCTCAAAATACTCCTTAATTTCTAGTAAGAAAAATGAAAAAAAAATTGAAATAACCACAACAAAAACAGTATTATAAATTTTTTTTTTAATATACACATATATTGAGGTGATTCGTTTTGAATGATGATTTTTCCGCTACCTCAGCGAAATATCATTCTATATTATGAAAAAAATCTTGTTAAAGGCGGAGCTCTTCATCTTATTAAAGACCTCTTGTTTAAAATACACGGACACTTAGATTTTTATTTTTTAAGTTTATATGGTTCAGCGGCGCTTCACAGCATCACCTCGCCCAAAGTCGGGATTTTCTCAAAATTGAATGCCCTAAAAAGTGCCCATTGCGGCGTAATCGTAACGCACACTGGCGAGGTAGTACGGTTCACTTGACCTATTTTTTTATAAAATACTAGTTTTTTTGTAATTACGTCAAACAACGAGACCCACAAAAAAATATAAATGACATACTTGCAAAAAATTTAATTTTCTACAAAACACATTGACATCTACGTTGACGCAATACAGTTGATAGTTTAAAAGATATTCAGCATTTTAATAAATAATTAGCCAAATATTGATAACATAGCTAGTTTTCATTTTCAGCATATAAAATGATATTTTGCTGCGGGAGCGAAAAAAATCATAGCTCAAAATAAATCACCCTAAGATACATATTTTTTTTAAAACATCTTCATCGCTTCGTAATATCTCCCCCCTTTATCAGCTAAAGCAAAACCTCTCAATCCAGCCAACATAATACTTAAACACTTCCACATTTATTAAAACGGCGAGAACGTTACGAACTCGAATATTTAGTCGGAAGCCGTGCCCTAGCAATGGTTCCACCCCTTCTTCATTATCTCGAGATGTTCGTCCTCACCAGGTCTGCAGTGTGAAACTCGTAAGCGACGGTGCTGAGGTACAATATATTTATTTCATTATAATTATATCGCTTTCACTCTGACTGTCGTCGCGGTGTGCACTTTTTTGCTGAAGTGCAAGCGCGCTTCAAGTTCTCAAATTTCTCGCTCATTGTTTTTCTTTAAAGCGTCTCAAGGACTATGACTTCTGAAGATGCTTAGACAAACTGGCAAAAACAATAACGTAATGCATATAGATTCACATCACATGCACTGACGATAATCATTACGAGAAGTATAATACATAATTATAAAATATTTATGTCCTCTAAAAATGTTTTTAGTATCACGTATTTGTTGCCAATTACGGAGTAACCTAATGACACATAAGTTTAGTCTTAAATTAGAAAACTGGTCAAGAGCATGTCAGCCCATACTCATAAGGTTTCGAAGCCATTATTACAAAAAATGATAAAAAAGTACGTAGTTACACGTTTTCCATGTGTCTCGCACAGAATAGCTATAATTAGAAAAACAAGTAGGTATGTCGACCATTACAATTAAACTAGTGTAAACTAAAATGCATCAGAAAAAGAGTATATATTCATGGGACTTACGTCCCTTCGTTGACAGGCAATTTTACGGTAGTAACTCAAAAACGGTATGTTCGTTCATGTTTAAAATAATTTTCGTTAAAAGTAATTATTAAAAGCTACCTTTGTATTTTTTTTTCATATTTCCTAGGTTTAGAAAATAGAGGGGGAGACAATTTCTGCAAATTTCGGAGCGATCATTTCCGAAATTAAACAAGTAATCAGAAAAATTGCTTAAAAACCTTAAATTTTATTTAAAAGAACTGTCGAAATGTATCACAGGTTGAGGTTAACGGAAAAAAAAAATTCAGCTTCTGTTATATGTATGGAATGCCCTCTCTAGAAAAATTTATTTTTGTTATTTAACTACCAAACTAAGTAGCGGCTTATACAAGACACCTAAACTATTCATTTAATTAATATAGATTCGGCAGTTTTTGAACAAAATGCCTGTGACATACGGACGGACGAACGGACGGACATGACGAAAATATATTCCGTCATGCCATTTCGGCTAGGAACTTTAAAACAAGGTAACCGAAATCTTATCCTATTTATAAACTTTACGAATTATGTTTTTGTAATCACCGCTATCGCACAGTCGTAATGTAAGTTAAAATATAAATAGAATTATTACTTTATCACATTTTTTAACAATTTTGACAAGTACTCACACAAAAGAACAATGTCAAACTAAAACGGGAATATTTAATTGTAACTTAATCTCAGTGTCGCCTAGACTTCCTTTACGAGTTTATTATGGCACGCAAGCGCACATTTGTATATTTTTTTATGGCTCGAAATCATTTTGTCCTGGATTCTAGACCCGCAGTTGTCATTTGTCAACTTCAACGGCGCTGTCCACGCAAATAAATCGCCTGCCCCCGACATTCCGGAACGCGACAGTTATCCTGCGGCCGTTACGTCGACGACACTCACGACCTCTGGTGTACGGCTTCGGTTCGAAAACATGATCGTATCTTTTATATTCTATATGAAAAACAATTGCATACGGTATATTTGTTTCATGCATTTTTTTTCTATTTACAAATATTCTGAGAAAAGTATGAACAAGTTGTTTGTTGTTTGTCGGTATATGTCACTATGTACGTTTTTCGTTAAGAATAAAAATGTATTTTAATATTAATTTTCAAATAGATTCATGTGACGTGCGTGTTATCCATCATCGTGTCAACATAGAGTCATATACACATATTTTAAAACATAACAAAATCACAATAAGCGACAAATATCAGTACATTATTAACTTATACATTAGTCGCCCTCCACATGCCCTTAGAGCTATTTATAACATCAGTACAAATATATACCTAAATATAATTTCTAACAAGCGGTTTCATTTTGTCCCAGATCACACATTCATTATGTAGAATTAGCATACTGAACGCTGTTCTCGCTAATTCGTCACACACTTGTCCATTTTTCTTCGACAAACATCATCACAGTCGTAGGGCTGCCTTCGTTATCCACAAATAGATTTTTAATTTTCCACTTCTTCTCGTTCTTTGGAGCATTTATGTTTATAAATCCTTCGAGAAGTTGCATCAGTAAATATTTAGAACTTTTCAAAGGTTTACGTCCGCAGGCAAACCCTGATGTTGTCGATGGTTTAAAAGGAACATTTTTCGTATAGAAAAGTCTTTTGTCACATATAACTCATACTCATTAGTTTATTTGTATTTCTGACCGAGGGGTATACAGCTGCGGGTACACTCCGCTCTGGTGCATGTGAACCGGAACAACCTAATTATCCGTTAAAATGTTATTAAGCTACACAGCATCATCTGTAATCCATTATTTTTAAAAATAAATACATTCAAGGAAACGTAGCTATAGCGTTAACTATTAATTACATTTACGCGATGAAAATAATTGACGATGTTACGTAATGAAAATGTAATAAATCGCGATAAATTATAAAAACGCCGCAAGTAAAACAATGCAATATCATGTTATTGACGGTCGTGCCACGAGTAATCAGCGCTTTGCTTTCAATTAAAAAGGTAATAAGTTCGGTCACAGACCACCGTTTAATTTCCCGGTAAGTTTTTTACTCGGGCCAAATTATATCATTTGCTTCTTTCTGCTGAGATTGCGCTAAACCAGTCTTTACATTCTTCAAACTTTCGCATCTAACGTGGCCTAAAATGCAAGCTTTTCCATCCGAAATGAAGCACAACGAGATGGTGCGACCAAGCGGTCGGTCGACGAAAATTCGACTCGACGACTACGTATCCCGATATGATGCGAAATGATAATTAGAAATTACAGAGAATACAAGATTTGTTCTAAATTGATACGTAATCAAACAAATTAAATCCCGTAAGTGTAGATCATCGAGGCGATGTAACCGACACGTGTCGGCGGGGGAACGCCTTCAGCTTTTTGACGTGAATTCGATGAACGCCGTGTCGGCGGACACTCCAAAAGAAATGAGGCACAGAAGACGTGTATCTGTGAAAGCTTCAAACTCCTAAGGTTTGAAAGTTACAGACGTAATAATTATATCGATGTGAAGGTCTATCTAATAGCAACACAAAAATCTATGTTTGACCCACGCTCCACCCCTGCGTTTGCATATGGACCGCGCAAATTCGTACTGAAAATTGTACTTTAAAGTCAATCTAGCGCTGAAACTACTCTGGTTTGGATGAAAAAACTTAATCTCGAAGGATATGGTTTTTGCTATAGTTTGATATGAGAAATAATCAGCTTTTCTAATAAACAAATTGTTGGCGTCCGCTGAAAGTTAGAGTTGCAACAACAAAGCAAAGATATACCCGAGAGAAAATGTTTGAAACCTTCTGCGAATAACCAAAATAACTTTCAATAGTAAGGGGGCATAGTCTCCAAGGTGTAAGCAAAATAGAAGTCCAGAAAAAATGGACCAGCTCCAACCAGGTCGGCCGAAATACTGAGCGTCGACTGCGAAAATCGACATTTTCAACTTTTTAACCTTATACATGTGCACGATTGCTCCGGATAGTCTTAAATGGTGGACTGTTTAGAAAATATAAATAGTGTTAAGGCAAAGAACCCAATATAATTTAATTTAGCGGACCTAATATTATTATTTTGGAAATATTCGCCAGATTCACAAAATAGTGGCACCTACGGCAGTAGCCTCGAACTCCACCCTCGACCCCTGACCCATTTCTACCCACCCCGGTTTTTGGAGTCGTGCTGTGTATAATTATAATCAACGTCGTATTTCACTTTTAGCTGGTTTGCCAGGTGGTGTTCCCAGAGCAATTTTTATTTCTTGCTTATATAAGCTTGTCTGCAACTTATCACTGGCAAATCCAACCATTTCATTAAAGACGCAACTCATATTTTCAGTACTGGAATTCAATAAAATGAACACTTCGACGTATGTTTTCTTATAAGGCGCCCGGTATGGAAATTCTTGTGAGGAGTGAAAAATAAAACCGTCAACTCAAAAGCCTTAAGCTTTTTTTAAACGTATTTGATGTCTACTCCTATGATTAACATTGAGTTCAATGGCAGCGAGGCCGAGCGGTCTAAGGTGCTGGTTTGAGACACCACTCTCCTCAAAGACGTGGGTTCGATTTCCAGCGCTTCCAGATTTTTCTTCATTTAAATTTTTATAGCATTATTACAACCAAAAATAGGAATTATTGTTTCACATAATGCTATCTAATATTGTAGTTGGATATCATCTATTTATTTAATGAGAGTTAATTATAATTGCAGAAATTTTTGTTTAGGTGTGTGAGTTTCTCAAACTTGCCACAACCTTTTATGTAATGTGATTTATATAAGATTTTTTTTCGTATCAATGTAAATGAATATGAATAAAAATATAAACATTCTTTCGCTATTACAGAATACACGTATATTTATTCCCTTGCCTTGTTTATCAGTCGCGCGTCGTAGCTGACACACAGTTTATTCTAAATGTTGAAAATTTGATATATGTGTAATTTTCCAACTTAAAACTATATTAGAGCAAACTTTTTACATCAAACTTGTAAAGCGAATTGTAAAGAATTGAGTATACACAATTTTATGGCTATATACAAGATAAAAATAATGTATTAAAACAACGTAATGAAAAAAAAAAAAATTTTTATTTAATAAATAAAAATAATTCACTTTCTTCTCTCACACCTTACAGTATAAATTATCACATTTCGCTTTTATATATATACATATAAGCGATTGAAAAATAAAAATATTTATGTATGTACGTATATCATAATAAAAATATTTTTAATTTTTCATTTCGCTTATATATATGTATATATATATATATATATATATATATATATATATATAAGCGAAATGAAATTATACATATTTAATAATTTAATATCCTTAATACTATATATTTTGCCATACTTTTTAATGAAATGTGTACAGGTAGAAATATAAATAATTTTAAATTTGTAATTTGTTTCATTGTGAAATCAGATAAATCTAGCTGAGGATTTCCATATATGTTCGATACTTTATAAGGAAAAACGTTACCCTTGAGATCTATCTTTGTTTCGTCTGTCACAGAGGTTTTACATAAAAATTATATATCATAGGAATTTAAGATTTTGGCGTAACGTTAGCTGTTGATAATGGGCACACGCATTGGTAGTGATCGATTATAAGAATATGTGTTTTGGATTAAACTGGGTAAATATATTCCAAAGAAAAAATAATATTTAATACTTCGTGTATAGTATCATATTTTAAAATCCACGTCTAGGTATTGTAATAATATTTTTATTAATAAATTTACTATGGAGCGATTAATGATCTCAACTAAAAAACACATGCTGGGAAACACAGTACTTTCCAACTCAGCTCTCGAAGTTTTTTAAACTGAACTTAATTATTACAGTACGAATAGATATTTAAGTACAGATATTCGAAAAATTCCCTTCATAATCCAAAACTATCTTTGTTTCATAGTTATGCCACACCACTTGAAGTACAACTTACTATTTTAAGATTGTTCTAGTTTACCATTTTGAAGCAGCTCGCTCATAAAGAAGTTTTCCTTCAAAAAGAACGAGCAAGAAACTTGTAGGCATCCCAAATTTCAAATTTTTCCGATAGAGCAATTGAACTATTTAGTATTAATCTTTATGAAGGAAATATCGGTACGGAACTATGATTATACGACCCCGACTCGCTCTTGGCCAGTTTCATCTTGTATTTGTATCTATACACCCCTAAGTCACCATATTGATAACAGTCACAATTCGTAACTCATATTACCAATACTAAAATTTATTTACATAAGAAAAAAACTTCATAACCGCCATCAAATCGAAAATGCAGCCGTCGTTAGGTATTTTTTAGAATGGCCATTTGCACAAGTCAAAATCTCAACAACAAGAAAATGAGACAGACTTGTATTATTCTAGACATCAATCAGTGTCACTGCAACGAGGGCATTAGTTGACGTTGTCAAACGGCGCCGGAGTGCATCGTTTATTTTTTTAAACGCTCCCCGAGCCCAAAACAATGATAATTTATAACAAACGTAAGTCATTATGTGGGTAGCGGTCAATTATTTCTATTCGTTCGCTAAGAATTTGTCGGTTAATTGATTCGGCCCAGTGGCGTAGTACGCATATTAATGGCACGCGTTCGTGCCATTTGATTCTCGGCCATTTCATAAATTTCGACATTTCGGCAATTTGTGTTATCAAATTTTGTGTTTGTTGACTTTTGTTCGGTCGGTTGCTATAAACACAACAAAAGTTTATTTCTTATTTCAAATTTTTAAATTTTATAACTACCTACATCAATTGATTACATTTTGCCTGTGATATTATAAACATTCGTTATCCCGTTGTAAAACAAATAAAAAAAACGTGGTGCAACAAATAATTATGAAAATATATTTATTTTTGTTTAGCGCAGTGTATATTATCTTTTCTTGTCTGATAATAAACCTATTGCGGCTGTAGTGTCTAGTAATAAATCGATTTAATATTTAAATATCTGATTTTAAGTTCCTAGCGACGCGCCACGGCTTCGAGTGGGTAAGTGAAGACATTTTTTATATTCTGGTTAACATCTACGCAATGATTACCCAGATTCTCTTTGGCCTCGATTATAGACTAGAATGCTAACTAGAAGAAAACGAAAATTTATTTATTAAATTTTGTCAAACACAAAATTAAGAAATATTCCTTTGGTTCCTTTATTTTTTAAGGTTTAGTAACTTGAAAATTCAAATTTGGCTATTCGGTTACAAATTTATGACTTAAATTAAATTAAAGAAAATAAAATATACGATCACGATTTAACAAATCAAAAATATAATTTTCAAATATATTTTATCAATGGAGTAAAAAACATGGGGTGCTTGATTTTCTTTATTTGTCTATTGATTATGACTTGATTTGTCTATTTTTTAGCTGTTGATAAAAATAAACATATTAAAATTGAAATAAAAAAGACAGTCCGACCAATATCAAGCCCTCAACGCCCTTTTTTTCGATAATGACAATGGCATTTAACATATACATTTTTTTAATTAATTGTTAATGCTATATCTTATCTTTTCTTTGTGATTTTATAAAGCTTGCTTTTCTTTAATATATATATATATATATATGTGTGTGTGTGTGTGTGTGTGTGTGTGTGTGTGTGTGTGTGTGTAGTGTGTGTGTTATTAAAAGTCTAGGAATACCTCCCACATTTCTATCTTCTATTCCGCAGGCTAGCCGCTTTATTTCCAAAAACCTTTCTCATTACATACACACATCACAAAATAAACCAGCAGCTTTGGCTCTGGTATTGATAAATTATTCAGTCTGCCAGTACTTTATGTTTCATAGTATTAATACAAGCTATGGAAAATTTTATTTTCCTTGTCTATGATTGAAAAAATTAAAGATTTACCGTGACATCGTATACCTATTTTTCTTATTGCCTCAAAAATAAATACAACAAGCATTCTATTACGTACTTGTCTCTAAAATAAAATACTTTTTAAAGCATTTTCATATTTTCAAATCAAAGTTAGTAATTTCGTAAATGTATAGAGTTTTCAACTTTGTAAAATATCTCAATGTATTTGTACTACAGCTTTAACTCCTGCCGTCATTAAATTGAAAAAATAAAAACAATTACCTTGAGGCATCTTTTGCCACGGCCATATTCCAAGAACCCTGTATTACATTCAATACAAGCTCATAAATTGTGATGTAGTTAAAGAAAATAAGACATAAATTACCAGTACATTTCATAATGCCATTTCAGAGTACTTAAGTGGCTTTCGAATGATACATTATTAAATTTGACATTTGTAATTAACGCAGCACACTGTTCTTTCCTAGAATTATGTACATTAACTCGTGGTGTGAGGCAATCATGTTGATATAAACCGCTATTGATTAATTACATTCGGGAATATGACAGTATACACTGCTATTATTTTATCGCAAACATTGTAATATTCGGATAAAGGCTAATTTTTATCATTGGATTATATCTTTCTATTATAAGCTATCGCTATTAATACTTGCATCGGTCCGGTGGCGCCAGCGCATCCGCTATATTAAATGTTATCGACTGCCTCTATTGGTAGTTAAAAGTAAGCTTTTATTGTGCGCTTAAATCGATTCAGATCTTTAAAGAAAATCTTAAAGGTTTAATTTTCAATCATCAAAGATATCTTTCACCTTAACTTTTCTTCTTTCTCTTTCTGCACCACAATTATAGACCAGAATTGTACACCACAATTGTCTTTAGCAAAATAAATATTGGGCAAGTGAGGCATCTACCATTGTGGTGTCCATTCATGTTCTTCGAAAGCGCACGTGTAGGGCACGCACACGTGCACACGTGTAGGCCAGACGCACGCTCGTGTGTATCAAATCTAATTGAACGATAAAAGATATAAGTTGTGTGCGCGCGGACGGACAGCTTGGGATATCATACTGCTGATGATAGTGTTGGGGCTCACCCTTTTCGCCGACGTCCTTCCCAAAATCCAAGCGCTCGTGGCCAATGATCGTCTATGGCCGTGAAGGGTTCACTACACTCACTGCCACTAAATTGTTTCCGGGATTTATCCCGCAACAGCCCGCAATTTATTATTTTTCATTTGCGCGTTCGCGCATAGACCTCACGCTCCGCTACCACGTTGTTCGAACGGAAAGTATGACGTTTCGTCCTGCACTGTTTGCTTCGCCTCGCGTCCGTCAGTTATTTATAATCTAGAGGAGATAAACTAAAATTTAAAAAAGAAAAATGGCGTAAATTGGGGGCCACGTACTCCAAGTACATTGTCCGTGGCAAATGAAGATATCATAAGACTAGTTTCGATGGATTTGTTGTTAATAATAAAGACTAATTAACACAAAAAATCATAGTCCTTTCAAAAACATATTTATAAGTTCTCATTTCAAATCAATTCGACGGTTTCATCATGGATAGAAAATCAGATAGCACCTAATCGAAACACAATAAGTAACTTTTGAAATAACAAGAAATTAAGTTGTACTTATGATTTGAACACCGTTTGACGCAACCAGTATATATCTAGACGACACGTGGATCATATTATTTTATATTCATTGAATTATCGATTCTACATCACTTTCAGTAT